GGGGGGGGGGGGGGGCTTAATAGAGACAGGGGGCTTATTTTAATTTAGAAACACCGATGGTATCAGTTCTCCATAGAGAACTAGAATACAAAAGGGAAAAAGCTCAAGCACAAGAAGTTTTAGGTCATGCAGCTCAGGATCAGAATCAAATCCAGACTTCTAGTTGGTAAATAAACCATCCTGGATCAGTCCACATGAGGTTTAACAGTTGTGATTGATTAATACAGTCTATCATTTATTAGTAAAGAATAAATAGGGGGGGGGAGGGGGGGATTATTAACTTTTTTCCCTAAAAGGGAGGGCTTATTAGAGGGACGGGGTTTATTTGAGAGGGGGGCTTTATAATAGAGGATTTATGTTACTAAAGAATAACCTGACATTTCATTATGAGAGTGTTACTGATAAACATTGACTATATAGTAGGCAGTGATGAAAACTTATTTAAGAATAGAAAATGTCTTAAGAATGACCATGGGGTATAGGGTGAAAGATTTCACGTTACAGGTCAAATTTGAATGTGAAACTCTAAACTGTAGAATGATTCCCAGGAAGTCACTTTTTCATCTGTAACATAATTTCAAGAACAGAGGGTATCTTAAGAGTACAAACTGGCTTATAAGCAGTAAATGGTGAAAAGATGGGCCCTTCTGACTGCATGATAGGGTTCAGCAAATATTTTATTGGTAAATCAAGCAGAATTTCCAGGAAGTCCTCTTATTCAACAAATTATGTAATTTCTTCAAAATATATTTCACTGAAAACTCCCTGGAACACTGAGTGTTGCTGAAGAGGCTTTATCAAAAGATTCAAAAACACATACTAAACACATAGATTTCATATAATTGACTGTCAGGTGAAAACAAGGAACAAACGTGTAAATATTAATTACTTACTCTCTGTTTTCCAGTCACTTGTTGACTTGAGCTCCAGTTCTTCAAGTTCACAATAATCTTTACGAAACTCACTGCGTCTGCTGTATAATGGCGTATTTTTATCCTTTTCAAGAGCAGAAATCCTAAAAAAATTGGCATGGTCAAACTCATTATGATCATCTTACCATCAACATTGCAATCTTCTAAGGCGCCTTTTTGTACGAATTGTGTACTTAGATTTGTTGTCCTCTCATCCAAAAACATCATTAAAAATAGTTCTTCCTTGAAAAGCATAACTTATTGTAATCTTACTTCTGCTCAAATTGTTCTAATTTATCAAAGAACTCAGAGTTCTTTTGTTGCTGTGTTCTTGGTTTCCAAGATTGACTAGGATCATTGTGTCCAGTTTCGGTCTCAACTCTGTTGTTCATCTTAAATATTGTCATCTGATGGAGTCATTGTTTCCCTTAAATAGACCAGGTGACACAGAAAAAGACCTTGAAATAAAAACATCAACAACAGATGCCGCCATTTTGATTTTTTGGGGGAATATCCACTGACCATACCGAGTCGCAGTCTCTGGTAACTGAGTCCACGACATAGTTTTACAGCAGTCGATACCAATCACTCACATCCTACATGAAGTACTAGCTTACAGACATTTTGTTGAATTTGACGGTGGAAAAATGGTAAGTTTTGTCCTAAAATTCCTTTTTTTCTGGTCTTCTACTCTAGTTGTGGGACGAAATTCGTAGTAATAAAGCTTGTGTTTGTCCTCTGTAGCTTGTGAACAAAACAGTTTAGAAATTGTCCCTTTAATAATTATAGAAAGTTGTTGCGGACATTTTGATCTACTTGCCTGCTGAGTCACGTTGTCATACATGGTTTTTACTGAGGACTCTTTTTTAGCCACCATTTTTTCTCTTTATTGGTTAGCTTGATGAAAATGTAAGCTAACAATCGGACTATCAAAGTATGTAAAAAGAAAGGACTCAAGTACTTAGAACGTGCATTTACCAGCTGTATGAAAACGCATTATTATTGAATACTTAACAATTAATGAATGAGGCTGATTAGGATATGAAGAATTATGCAGATCGAGGAGGGTGTTATCCACCTTAGCCTTCGGCCTAACACCCTCTGAGATAATACGGTAAATCATTAACTCTATTGTAACGTAATCTTGTTATGTTCTTGCTTTCCTTATCAGTTCCGTAATCAGTACGACAATGATGTTACAGTCTGGAGCCCACAGGTAAAATAGTTCCTGATTATTATTATTATTATTATTATTATTATTATTATTATTATTATTATTATTATTATTATTATTACTATTAATCCAAGTAATCATCTGGATCAACTTCATATCACTTCAGTCTTTGACAACTGGGAAAATAAAAATGATGTGGGTTATTATAGAAGCCAGCCAATATATAAATACCCCGGTACCCCTCAGTTTATCTTAGTGATATTGTGGTTCTCCGGGGTTGTCCCAATCATCCAGGTAATTCCCCGGGGGTAGTTCCCAGTCACATCATGAGGCATCAACAAGAACCTCAGACTGCGAGCAGTCTTCAGTCAGTCGAGTCTAAGCTCGGCAGGACTTGAGAGAGCGAATTGGCCGAGAGGGAAACTGGATAGAGGCCACCTCCTCCCCAGCTTTCCCTCGGCTTTCGCTCGCTTCGCTTGATTTCCTCGCTCGCGTGACCATCCTGAGGGACTGCTCGCAGTCTACAAGTACCTTGAACAATGCCAGCTTTTGAAAACAAGAACAAACATTAATGGTCAGAGCAGGTGTCACTTTTAGGGTTTTTAGGCAGGGTTTTGAAGATCAGAGAGTTTTAGTCTAGAATAGCACAATATTTTGAAGCTTATCAATGAAAGGTCTTAAGAGTGAACTCTAAAATAATAGTAATTGGCAGTTGGAAGTCTAGAATAAGCTTACCAAAAATCAGCTGATCATGGGCTAGTATGTGGGAAAGGTATCCAAATCCTAGCAGGTAGTGACCATTAAGAAAGTATAAAAGACCCCTCAAAATCGATCCATTCTAATAACCACGAATTTTATTGTGGGGCTACTTATTGCTATTGATTGATGTTTAATGCTGTGAGTTCAGTTAAACAACAGTACGCAAATTCTGTGTGTACTATTGTAAAATATTGGTTGTCATCAGTAATACTCATGTGTCATTTTAGGGCCGCATACATCAAATTGAATATGCAATGGAAGCTGTCAAACAGGTATGATTTTTTTATCTGTGAATGATCAGACTAAAGAATAAGGCCAATTTAAAATGTTCATGAGAGGAAATGTTATAGTAAGGTGGTATCAAAGGTCTAAAACAGATTAGACAACATGAAGAGGTGTATTATTTTCTCTAAGATGCTTGGGTGTACTTAGGTGTGTGCAGGGTTCGCAAATACGCCAAATTTGGCGTATTTTACGCCAAAATTGTTCAGATGACTCCACAGAGGTTACGGAGGGAGTCACTTCGACTTCAGAAATTTTTGGTAACAAACAGGGAGCCACTTCGACTCCAAAAATTTTCGGTAACAAACACAGTTTTGTCCCTACCTTTTTCGCAACAAATGCAATTTACGTTAATTGTAAACGTTGTAAACCTTAATTAAATCATCAAAATTAAAGAATGATACTGCACGACAAAACTGGAAGAGGGTAAATTACGATCAAAGTTTACTCGATGACCACCATCATGGATTTGAGCTTTCTAGGTCAGTGGACCCCCACAGCTACACCGTGTATCCATCACGATAGTTATTCATGCCAGGACCACGTGCTGTAAAGTCTGAAAATGGCTTTTTTCGTTGTGACACTTGACTCCAAATTTTCCAAAATGACTCCAAAATTTGTGAAGCGGAAGTCACAGTGACTCCACTGATCAATAAAATTTGCAATCCCTGGGTGTGTGTTTATTTATTAGACCTTCATCACAGTCTTAATGAAATGTTTTGCCTTTGCCTTTCATTGATACATGATCATATGTTGTGGTTCAATTTTATCCTTGGTTTGATTTAATTTTCTTTTGTTTCAAACTCATTATCATACATTACCATAGCACAAAACAAAAGAAAATTAAATCAAACCAAAGATAAAATTGAACCACAACAATATATATAGTGAGAAGAAAAATAATTGTGGAACTGTTGGCATGAAATAGTTACATAATTTATTATATGCATTATCAACAGAAGTGGAAAGTTAGTGATCTATAATTCAATATTATTAATTATCATTAATAACTACTTAATTCATATTTTAGAGGTTATAGTTGACAAATATCCAGTTAATTAAATGCCACACAAAATCAGAAGAATGTGGCATTTATTCGAGGTTGTAGAAAATACTTGGCTCAACTTTGGAAATCTTCATTATGCAGACAATTCTGATTCTATCTCAGCAAAAAAGTGAGACATTGGAATTTTAAACATCTTTCTGTTTAACACAATATTTACAAATAATTTGTTCTAATATTGTTGTCTTAATTTAATAAATGTAATTTTGAAATAAACAATGCCCCTGAATAAACAGTGCATAATTTGAAAAGCTGAAAATTTAACAAAAAAATGCTGCAGCTTCACTTGATTTGATATGATACAGGTCAAAATTAAATTCAGGTTAAATGTCTTGTAGCCCTAAGTATTCATGAATAACTAGGGCTAGGAGACAAAAAAATTAAGAATCAACCTAGGTTAAAAATTTTATTCTGAATTTAATTTTGACCTGTAACAGATACAGTACAACCTGATCAGCTAACTTTCATGCAAACTTGAAACATTTGTTTTTGTCCACAGGGATCAGCCACAGTAGGACTGAAATCTAAAACTCATGCAGTTCTTGTGGCATTAAAGGTGTGTTTATAAATTTGTCCTGGTTTTTTTCACTTAGGGCTATCCTTATCCATGTGTGAGCATGAGACTCAAAACTGATGACAGACCAGCAGATTGACAGTCATAAAAGTACTGTCTGTTAAAGCTATGAGTGATTTTATGTTTACTGTTCTTTACCTTTTTCTGGCACCCTATTTCTAACTAAACCTCTGACTTGCAGGTAAAAAAGTGCAGCATCAGTAAATGATAGTTAAATTTTAACTATCAAGGCATTAAATGCTTACTACAGGATCTTATAGAAAGAGGGAAAATTACAAAATATTAGTCACTGAATCGGCTGCCATAGATATTTAAAAGTCCTTTGCCAGAGTTTAATCAAACTCTGCTATTGAAGGCCAACACATAAAACTTAATCAACTGATGAATAAGTTTTTTTTAAACATATTTGATTTCATACAATACAAAATGCATGTACATGCTGTAGGTAAAATCCACCCTCAGGTTAAACCAAGGCTGTGCTGTAAGAAAACATTGAACAGAGCCTGGTGCTCTGAACCTGTGAAATCCAGGATGCCTAGCATAGGATTTCTGTGAAAAAAACTTAGATTTTCTAGTCAACCGGAAGCAAAAGTGAGGTGCCAGTGAGGACACTAGTGACCAATGGGCACTGCTAAAGCACAGCCTTGGGTTAAACCAGCATTCACCTTATGTTATCAAGGCTAGAACCCAAACAAAAAGCTGACTATGATAGGTCGTTATTTAAATATGCACACGTTCTCTTTTTTTTGTTTAACTGACATGTGTATTTAGTTTGTTATTTAACGCATTACATTTTCTTTGGGTTGTTTTTCTACCCGAATTCCTTGTCAGTAACTGTGCTCACATTGTGGATGGCTCCTCCTAAATGTTTTACAATATTGGTATACATAGGATTTAATGGAATCAAAACCAATTGTGGAATTGCACACATTTTAGGCATTCTAATGATGAACAGTTACAACTTTGAGATATTTCAAGCAACAACAATTAATTGCTGTCTGTCACTTTGTACTGGAAAACCATTTAAATGCTTAATGCATTGTGTTATTTTCTTTTTAGAGGGCAGCATCAGAGTTATCTGCTCATCAAAAGAAGATCCTGCCAATTGATGACCACGTAGCTGTATCCATTGCAGGCCTCACTGCAGATGCACGACTTTTAAGGTAAGTTAGTGGTAAATAAATAAATGATGCTTACAGGTCTTTGAATGCATCTTAATTGCAAAGCAAGGCTGGAAAAACTTTATTTATACATATCTCAATTTTCTTTACATCAGTCATGTTGTAATTTCTTTAATTTCTTACGCTGGCCAATGTTACATGTTGGCTTAGGTCTGTAGATTTTGAAATTTTACCAGCATACTGTGGTCCCGAGCTACATGTTACTGTAACTTATTTTTTAGCTTTACAAGCGGCAACGATGACAAGAGGCATACTTGTGCTTCTACAGACCTGAGAGAAATATTTTCAAGAAGATTTAACATTTCTGTCATAGACAGTAATCTGTTTTAAAAATACTTTGAGTATATAATATATTTGCAGTGTTGTTTAGCTCTATCCAGTAACTAACTTCCCTGTTTGAAAATACTTTGTTGTTTATTTTCAGTAAATTCATGCGTAGTGAATGCCTTGACTCTAAATACGCATATGACAGAAGGCTGCCAATCTCAAGACTTGTTTCTGCTGTTGGAGACAGTATCTTTTTACTAACATTCGCTTCCTTATTTTAAGTGATTTTTTATTATTATTTACAAATGACTGGTTGTTAGTTAATTACGACCTTATGGAGTTGGCCTTCTTGTTGCTGGGTATGATGTAAGTAGAAAAAGTCTATCATTGTACACCTTATTTTAAATCTATCAACTTTCATACTCGCAGAGTCAGTAAGCTATGAAAGCTTGTAATGTGGGTCTAGCATTTGCATTTGTGGATTAAATTTGCCTGGTATAATCATTCCCCTGAAACCTTTTCAGCAGAACGTCCGTGCAATACTGATTGTATTATTTGCAAAAGTAAAAGGAAATTGAAATTGGATAACCTTTGCAGTGAAAGGTTTAAACAGGTCCTCACAATTCAGTGTTGAATGAAGATTTCATTTGAAATATTTTGAAATACTACAACCCAATAGCATATCGTTGTTCCCAATTCATTTTTCATTAGTATGTTTTTTTAGCAGTCGGTAGCTTTGTTATCTGTACAGTTTACAACTTGTGTAAAATGAATTTATAGAGTAGCATTCATCTTTCACTCCTTAATAATTGATACCTTTCCTAATAGAAAAGCACCACACTTCAGGTAGCTTGCAACGACAACCCTATGCAGGTGCTAAAACATCCCTTGCCTAAATAATGCGCTTCAACCCACCTGTAATATTAATTGCCTTGCAGGTCAAATGTTCCTGGCTTAGTTATTTCAAATCATCTCCACTAAGATATTGGTTATGAAAATGACACAAGAATTATTGAGTACATGTATCTAGTAGCTAGTTCTAGGCTCTAAGATAGTCTGGTCCCCGAAATTGTGAAAATGCAAAAATGAAATGGGAGGAAGCTTATATTTTTGTGTACCTTTCACTTACATGTTTTCCCTTCTACTGGAGAGCCTGGAACAGGCGAGGTATCTTGGGGAGGTGCTTGTGTCGTGGACAAAATCCGTTCTCACTTAAAACCAGTATTAAGCTGGATTCAGAATTTCTTTTGTCTCCTAGCCCTGTGTTTTTTTCATAGGAGACTAAAAGGGTTCTAACTTTGTCGCTAAGATTTCAAGAGATTTTCTGTAAAATAGTTGTCTTACACCTTTTAGGACATGGGTCCTCACATCTATCAGACTTGCCCATCAGCTAACTTCTTTGACTGTAAAGCAATGGCTATTGGTGCCAGATCACAGGTATATCATTATTATTAGATAGTTTTTGTTTTTTGTTTTGAAGTCATTATAATATCCTATAATTATGGTTCTCTAAGCTGAGAAAACAGCCCAGGTGTCGCAACGCCACCTCTGGTTTCTGCGCAAAATGGCATCTGAGGAATGTCTGTAGAAATTTCATACTGGTCACATGTAACTACCCAGATCTGTGTAGTGCTTCTGATTGGTTGAGTTCCTCAGACATCATTTTGCAGAAAAAACAGTCAGGTGGCATCACAAAATGGTGACTGTTTTCTCAGGCCAATGGTTCCTGAGTATTAAGAATGATTATTATATAAATGCCAATGAAATACCAGGTGAGCTTTCTTGTGAAAACATGATATCTTCACATGTAAAAATAGCGTGTTATCTTCACACGTGAAATATCACCTTTGCTGTGGCTACATGGGAAATTGTCTTCTTGTGTAGAAAAAATATTTCACTCGAACAGAAATTTTGTATCTCGGTGCGGCCATGTAATATCCCTATGTCTCCCATCCCCTATGTCTGTAGTATAATTTCTTACCAATTTGTTTGCAGTCTGCAAGAACATACCTTGAAAGACACTTAGAAGAATTTCCAGACTGTAAGTGTGACATGTTTTACACTAAAATGTGTTTAGAATTCAAGGTCAATTCAGTATTATTGCAATTCCATGTAAGAAATGCCTTTTACCTTCTAATGATTATGTGACTTAATTAAACAACCAAACTACCAGTAAGTAATGCAGTTACTAACTGTATAGTTGAGGGATGCCAAATATAATAGCAGGATGATGGACTACAATACTAGATTTATTTTGTCTAGACAGTATATTGCAGTTAGCGAGAGCCTCTTAGGGGAGTATGTATGTCCCTAGTCTGAATTTCAAATATGGTCATTTCGCGTTTTAAGGAGCAGGCCAGTTCCCTGTTGGTATTTAACCCATCCTTATGTCATTTGTCGCCATTTTATCTCATTTCATTTCCAAAGGTGAACCAGAAGAGCTAATTAAACATGGTTTACGAGCCTTGAGAGAAACACTTCCTAATGAACAGGAGCTGACAACAAAGGTATGTTTGGCATCTGTTAACATTCAAGCATTGTCATTTTGGTACTGATTGTTTTTTTAAATTTAATGTCTGTCCCTTGGGTAGCCACGCATATCTCCTTGACCTTGTTTTCTCTCCTGTTCTAGTTCAGTTTTAGTGGAGCATGTTCATGGGCACAGTCTGTGCCAAACAAAAATGTGCTTGAAAAATTGCAGCATTTCCCTGTGATGTCTGCATGCACATATGGACCCCATTAAACCCACAAACTGGAATCCTAGTGAAGACTGTAGTTTTTTAAAGATACTATCTGCCTGCCATAATGTTATTTTTGTCATTGAATGTTACGTTTTAAATGTTCACTTTAGGCTTGTCATAAAATACTATATTTATTTTACCACAATCTTAAAAAATGGTTGAATGGAAAACTAAGAAATCAGTTTTTTTTATACGTCTCTGGTTTATTGTAGAATTGTGCTATTGCTATTGTTGGAAAGGGACAAGACCTTGTTATATACAGTGATGAAGCAGTTTCTCCCTATGTATCCTTTTCAACTATATTGCTTCTTTAACAGGCACTGATCTTTTGTGACTTTCAGCCAGAATAGTTATTGGGATGCTCTTAATAAACTGTAGTTGAATACTGTAGGAGAAAGGGCTTTGGGAATTTTAGGCTCACAAGAATATGTATGGTGGGTTCATTCTGTCTTCTTTTCAGTCTTTTTTGGGAACTGAAGATTTTTTACAAGTTTTTTTGCTGAAGAAAAGAACAACTGCATTGAAAAAAAGGAAAATAGAAAATATCTCATGCTTCCCTAATAAGAGATTCCCTTACAAATTATATCCTGTTGGGGTGGGGGTTGGGGGAAGAAACTTACATTAAGATCCCCCTCCCCTCACCCTCAGGAAATATCACTTAGGCTTTATGTTTTCCTTGAAATGGTCTGGCTTTTGATTGACCACCCTCCCCTCCTCCTTGGAAGACAAGAAAATTACATTTTCCCTTTAAGGCCCAAGATTGACCAAAGCCAATTTTCCCCCAACAAAATCAATACATAATCAAGGGAAAATGATGTGAGAATTAATAAAATAATCAGCTGGGGCCGGTTGCTCGAAGCGTGGTTAGCGCTAACCGTTGGTTAAGAGGTATCAAAATGTGTAGGTTTCCATGGTATTTAACGCTGGTTAGCACTAACCATGCTTCGAGCAACCCGGGCCTGATGGGGAAAGCTTTGATATATAAGCAAATTCTCTTAACTGTTCTTTAAGGAAATGTGTGGACATAAGTCTGGAGAATTTGTATTTGGATATTGGAGCTTTAAGGGTTAATAATACTTTCTCAATCTGACTTGAGAGAGAGAGAACATACAAGAACTGAGTAAGTGAAGATAAGGGTGTTTACTATGTGGCTTTCATCTGTAACAGAAATTTTGTCAACTGGAAAATGGTAATATTAAACCATAAAAATTATTTTAATTTCTTAAAAGTTATGTTGACCTTAATTTGCTGTAGTTGGCCGGAATTGATCAAACAAAGAGGCGGCGAGGAGATGAGGTAAAGATCACCACATAAGGATAGTTAAACTTGCAAACTAATCCTAGCATAAGCTTTTCACAATGGTATTTGTTGTCCAGTGGGATTTTTGAGCCCAGGAAAGAGAAACTCTTCCTGACTTGCTTTGTATCTGTAGCCCAGCATCATGGGTTTGAATCCGGTTGAAGCCCATTAAAGTTTATAACTTCAAGGTTCTTTTTTCTCTTGAAAATCTGACCTTGTTGATATTTTAAATTCCAAATACCTTTCTAATAAGAGAAAATTTTAATGCACAACACATGGGTGTCAATATCGTAAAGTTTTGTTATAACGGGGGAATTTAAACCCATTAGCCTGACCCATATCCTCTGCATTGTAAATCTATGACTTATTTTATGTTTTACCTTTTGTGAGGAGAACTTATTTTTTAATAAAAATCTAGACTGTACTGGCCGCTAGAGCAGCTTAAAGGTTTCAATTAAAGAGCCAGAGAAATCACTGAACAGATGCTTTTTTGTCAGCATCACTCTCATTCTAGACCGTAAAATGGCCCGTATGTTTTTTTTTGTAATGCTTGTTTTTTTGTTTGTTTTAAGGCTGCTGATGATGCTATGGAGGCAGAATCAGAGGTAAGCTTGTAGCACATGTTGTCAGGGTTACCTGTCAATACCATATTTCAGGAAATCCAGGGTGCTTACCATTTCCACAAACCATCGCAATGGAAATCTTTTGCATAAACATAAAATATAAAATTTGATGTGGTGGGAGAATGACCCGCTAAGAAGTATATCAAAGTCAGCTGAACAGACTAAAACAGAGTAGAAAAATAATTGCATAATTTGCCACAAACACAGCCCATATCTTGTAAAGCTTCCCAAACAGAATGGCGCAGACCATTTGATTTTCCAACCGAAATTTCCTCTTTTCCTGGTATTCCTGTGTAAATGGTAAGTAGGTACCCCCAGTTTCTAAACTGTTCCTTAGGCAAAACTCCTTTTCTTTGTTTTGTGTTATTGGAAAAGATTAACATTACAAATTCTCATTTTTATGTAGCTCAGTTAAGTTTAAGTAGGGAGTTTTAAGCTTTTACGCTCCCTAATTAGGTAATGACAAAGGCAGCAGTGGTGAAAACTTCACCTAAAAAATGAGTTTGCATCATTTCAACCTGTATGGCTTTTATTCCACCTCCCTCAATTTGTCAAATATTTGTGAATGTTTTGGAGTTGAAGTAAGTAAATAAGTAAGTACCGTATCCAAGTTAAGAAAAAGAAAGAGACAATTGTTGTCTTGTGATCACGACCTTCATGAAACGTGAAATAACGAAGTGTGCAATGACTGCAACAAAGTGTTCCAAAAAGTTTGAGGCACTTGCAAAGTTGTTGTTTTGCTGAGCTAAACCTATCAGTATTGCTTTTTGCCGTTCTCGTTGATGTCATCATCATCGGATGTAAGGGTCCCTATTAACCAATTGACAGTGTCTCCTCCTGAAAGTAGCCAGCGAAACCTTACTGAGTAGCTAGCGAGCAATGAAGTTTGTGAAAACGTGAATTCATTTAAATAGTGATGATTTTGCTGCCTTCTTCATCATCGTTATTGCTTAAGCTTCCTTTTAACAACTTAAGAGAGACTAGTATTGTGGTAAGCCTGTGAAGGTTGTGTGTCACAGGACTGGTATTTTTATTTCAGGCGCCTGGTGAAGGTGAAGCAGGTGCACAGGAAGGTGAATCGATGGAAGCTGAGTAGAGCTAAGCTTCCCTTTGTCATCACAATTTCGTTCACCCTCTGTAGTTGCTCCATTAATCTTGTTTTTGTCAAAACTTGTGAAGAATAAAGCTTCTCAAAACAACTTTTACTGTTGTTCAATTTTATCGCCTCATCGTGTGCAACTGTCTGCTATTTCCTTTGTTGCTCAAGGAAAGAAAATACTATTATGTCCCAACGCCTGGTTCAGACGCCGAACATTTCATGAGCCGAAGCTAATGCGAATCAAGGCCTACCCAAATTATTTAGACTGGCTGAATTGATTCAGATGCCAATCTTTATATGCAGCTAAACTAAGTTCAAAGGCAAAAAATGCTCATTTCGGTCAAAGTGCTTGTGAAATACGTTATGATAATTTATGCATTAGCTAGGTTCGGTACATGAAAAGTTTGGTGTCTAAATCATAGCCATTCCAAAGTCGCTCTAAATTCCTGGCCGGGCTAGGCAAAAAGGACGGCTGAGCTGTTCCAAATTGAAACAGGCATTCCTAATTTATTCAGATGCCAAACTTTTCATGACTACTTAATTCAAAGTTCGGCTCATGACCGAGCCTAAGAAGCAATTTCTTTGTGTGCTATAGAATCTCTCGCAGTGTGCTTTAATTACACCATTCATCAACCATCATTCTACAAACAGAGGTACCCTATCTATATATACCAATAGGAAGAATTCCATTTTATCATCCTTTGTGATGTAGCTTTGATTAAAAAAAAACCTTTCACCTCCAAACTAAGTCTTCTGATTGGCAAAAACCTTACCTGTATTGCTNAAATGCTCATTTCGGTCAAAGTGCTTGTGAAATACGTTATGATAATTTATGCATTAGCTAGGTTCGGTACATGAAAAGTTTGGTGTCTAAATCATAGCCATTCCAAAGTCGCTCTAAATTCCTGGCCGGGCTAGGCAAAAAGGACGGCTGAGCTGTTCCAAATTGAAACAGGCATTCCTAATTTATTCAGATGCCAAACTTTTCATGACTACTTAATTCAAAGTTCGGCTCATGACCGAGCCTAAGAAGCAATTTCTTTGTGTGCTATAGAATCTCTCGCAGTGTGCTTTAATTACACCATTCATCAACCATCATTCTACAAACAGAGGTACCCTATCTATATATACCAATAGGAAGAATTCCATTTTATCATCCTTTGTGATGTAGCTTTGATTAAAAAAAAACCTTTCACCTCCAAACTAAGTCTTCTGATTGGCAAAAACCTTACCTGTATTGCTTCCGTGGTAACCTGTTTGCAGGTTAATTCCCTGGGAGTTATCAATATTGATTTCCTTAGTTGTGGGAAATCTTTGCAGCCCCATATTTACCACCAACAACTTGACTATTGTTCGCAAAAATCCCGGCAGATCTTGGATAGCATTGACTGCATTGACTTTTGGAGCAGTTGTAGGCTTTATTTTCATCACTTCCTCTGGTTTACTTACTAAACAGTAGTAGAATAACAGGTAGAATAAATGCGAGGTCAACCAGGCTGTTAACAGCACTAGTCCATCTTCTCATGTGAATACGTTTCATTATTAGCAAAGGAAATTGTAATGATGCAAAATCACGGTAACCTGGTTAGGCGGCTTTTAAAAAACAATGAAATTTTTACTATGGAAGTAGTGAAGAGATGGGACTAGGGACTGCTAAGAAACTGAGCCAGCCCGGTAGACCGTATCCTTCCATGCAGGCGATTAGACAAGGCATTCATATTTCCCCCTTTCCCACAAACTGGTGATTTGGTTTGTGAGGAGGGAGGAAATACGACACGCCTAAAAATGTCTGCATTGAAAGCTAGGTTGTCCTTACTTAGTTCCTGGGACCCATAGCCCGGGATCCCATTTCAGACCAATAGGTGATTTTTCCTATCACACTCAGATCTGAGCCCCTGTTCTCAATGAAAACTTTACTGACAAAAAAAAGCAAACAAACTCAAACAAACAAACAAACAAACAAACTCAATTGCAACCTCGAACAGGAAGGTTAAGTTACTTATTGTCAGGGTCTGGAAGGATATTTTCAGGATCCGGGGATCGCCGCTGATCAAAAGGATCGAAGCTCTGGGAACGAGAATGAGCACATCTGACATTCACTGTGCGTTATTGCTAGCACAGCTACTAATGTTGCACTAGACTCCCAAGAGTAAAATCATTTTTTATTAATTCCCACTCCGTTTAACAACTAACAATGGCGAAAACAAAGCCCAGCCCATGTGTTGGTTGGTACGCAGAAGAAACAGGTCATGTTTTTTGTGAATACCTAATGCACCCAAGAAAAAATAGAGATAATTTTTAGGGTATTTCCACCGACCTAACATCCACTCCTGCTATTTTTTTCAACTTTCAAGTGAAACGTGATGGCCGCGAGTCAAACAGAGCGACCAATCTAAGACTAAAAGACAGACTAAAAGAAAAGTAAAATCTATATAATACTACCCTCCTTCCTCCTCCCCCCAAACGAAAAAATATAGCCTGTTGGGGAAAGGTTCAAAACTACCTTTTAGGACATGGGTCCTCACATCTATCAGACTTGCCCATCAGCTAACTTCTTTGACTGTAAAGCAATGGCTATTGGTGCCAGATCACAGGTATATCATTATTATTAGATAGTTTTTGTTTTTTGTTTTGAAGTCATTATAATATCCTATAATTATGGTTCTCTAAGCTGAGAAAACAGCCCAGGTGTCGCAACGCCACCTCTGGTTTCTGCGCAAAATGGCATCTGAGGAATGTCTGTAGAAATTTCATACTGGTCACATGTAACTACCCAGATCTGTGTAGTGCTTCTGATTGGTTGAGTTCCTCAGACATCATTTTGCAGAAAAAACAGTCAGGTGGCATCACAAAATGGTGACTGTTTTCTCAGGCCAATGGTTCCTGAGTATTAAGAATGATTATTATATAAATGCCAATGAAATACCAGGTGAGCTTTCTTGTGAAAACATGATATCTTCACATGTAAAAATAGCGTGTTATCTTCACACGTGAAATATCACCTTTGCTGTGGCTACATGGGAAATTGTCTTCTTGTGTAGAAAAAATATTTCACTCGAACAGAAATTTTGTATCTCGGTGCGGCCATGTAATATCCCTATGTCTCCCATCCCCTATGTCTGTAGTATAATTTCTTACCAATTTGTTTGCAGTCTGCAAGAACATACCTTGAAAGACACTTAGAAGAATTTCCAGACTGTAAGTGTGACATGTTTTACACTAAAATGTGTTTAGAATTCAAGGTCAATTCAGTATTATTGCAATTCCATGTAAGAAATGCCTTTTACCTTCTAATGATTATGTGACTTAATTAAACAACCAAACTACCAGTAAGTAATGCAGTTACTAACTGTATAGTTGAGGGATGCCAAATATAATAGCAGGATGATGGACTACAATACTAGATTTATTTTGTCTAGACAGTATATTGCAGTTAGCGAGAGCCTCTTAGGGGAGTATGTATGTCCCTAGTCTGAATTTCAAATATGGTCATTTCGCGTTTTAAGGAGCAGGCCAGTTCCCTGTTGGTATTTAACCCATCCTTATGTCATTTGTCGCCATTTTATCTCATTTCATTTCCAAAGGTGAACCAGAAGAGCTAATTAAACATGGTTTACGAGCCTTGAGAGAAACACTTCCTAATGAACAGGAGCTGACAACAAAGGTATGTTTGGCATCTGTTAACATTCAAGCAT